ACCTCTTTCCCCCAACTCCAGCAATAATAAAATCAATGGGGTTTACTTGCATTACTGACAGTTATGTACTTGAACTGAGTGCGGCATGCATTTAACTGGCTAGATGCAAGGTAGAGCACCCCATGGAGCAGAAACAGCTTAGCTCTCCTTCTCCTTTGGAACTGAAACTCTGTCCTACAAAACAGGAAATAATTCCTGCTCTCTCTAGCCCTCTGACCCAGTCCTCCAAAGATGGCATAACCAGTCTGGGGTTAACCACACTCCTGAGGTGCTGAGAGCTCCTGAAGCCCTGGCTCTGAGGATGCTCCTGGGCTGGCCATCTGCTGACATGGGTTTTGTGCAGTTTGTGACTAATGTCAGTGTTGATGCGATGTGCAGCTTACAGTCTTCTTTTACCCACCCTGCAATGACCCCTCATAAAGTTCCAAGTTGGCCAACCGAGCCTCCATTGTTTGAAAAACTGTAATGACATCGTGTTGCATGGCACACTCACCCTGAGCAGGGGGTCTACAAATCCCGCTCAGAGATCAGACCACCACTGCTCCCAGGTACATCCATGCATAGAAAAACGTCCTTCCTACGCTGTATTGGGTTTCTGTGGCAAGGTCTTGGTAGTTTATCATGTCTCAAAACTGCAAGACATATGCAACAGGAAAAGCAGGAGATACAGCACCTCTGTCCTACAAGCAACACACGACAGCTCCTCTAGGATCCACTGCAGGATGACTTTAATAGTGATGTAGCCAAGACTCAGAGAAACTTAGCCAGACTAGCCTCAGCCTCCCCTCACATCCTTCTGCAACCCTCAGAAGAGCAACCTTCATGCCATTTCCATTACCCTGCTCCAAGAAACCCCCTGTTTTAGTAATCTGACACAGTCCAGGATGGGAGTTGCACTTGAGCTTCTGGGTATCAATGTGGAAGCTAATGCTTCACTTATTTAGACTGTAGCATGGTGTCAAAAACCTAGGGCTGCCAGGGAAGCTGCACAGGAGCTTCTACTTATGTGACATGTTACACCAGGAGAACTAGTCAGAAGAGATTGGAAGGAAACAGAAATGGCAGACTTGGCTTTAGATCCCTGGGAGAGGTAGAAGTAATAGAGATAGAACAGGTATTAGACCAATGACTCACAGTAAGCTGTCCACATGTTAAATCCATCTTTCAGAAAGTAGAACTCATGGGAATTTGTAAAAACTTTCAAAACAGAAAAAATCTCACAGCTGTGCATCAGCAATTGGATGCTCCACATGGTAAGCTGGAAGGCAAAGGCCTCCAAATTTCTCTTCTTGAGAGGCAGAAAAAAGGTGTTTTAAGATTTAGCAGTTTTTCTCCTCTCCTTCTCTGATTTTGATTGATAATAAATTAAATTAATATTTTTTTCAAGTTGAGCCTGTTTTGCCCGTGATGGTAACTGATAAAATGATCTCTCCCTGTCCTTATCTCGACCCACAAGCCCTTTGATTTACTTTTCTCTCCTCTGTCCGGTTAAAGAGGGGAGTGATAGAGCGGCTTTGGTGGGCCCCTGGCGTCCAGCCAGGGTCAAACCACCACATACGCCTTACCCCAGCACGTCAATTCTTTAAGCATGCACCTGTATATTATTGCTTGCCCAGTCCTTATTCACAGTGATGCAACTGCTACAACAAGGAGATGTTTCATGTATCTTTATCCTGGTTCTTCATGCATCTGGGGACTTTTGCTGGGAGAGGCACTGTGGGCAATGAGGCAGAACAGTTCCTGCCAAGTGTTCACCAGCCTCTGCAAAGCTGGGGCACAGGACTGGGGGGCTGCAGACCAAGCCAAGTAACAGCGTAGCTTCTGTGGTCCCTCCTGGGACCAAACTAGCTCTCCTGTTCTCTTTGTACAGCCCGAGTTGCCCGATGAACGCCATCCAGCCACTTTTCTCCAGTTGTCCCCTGAAGGGCAGCCGGCCCGCGAGCCCCCTGGCAGGATGGCAGCCCCTCTCACAGGGGAGCAGGGCTGCCTTCGGGCCAAACCCAGCAAGAAATGCATGTGGCACCCGAGCCTGTCAGGAACTCCTACTCCCTCAGCGCTTTGCCTTTATTCCCCAGGAACAGCGGCTTCTCACACGCCCCTCAGCTCTGCACAGGGGGACATTTTGTAGGATGGCCCCAGGAGAGCGCGGGGGAAGAGAGGCCGCGGTGACCACGTTCAAAGGGCTTCTCCTCTGCCCCAGCACACCGCCAGCACCCCAAAGGCGCCTCCTCCCCGCAGCCCTCCCGAACTACCTCGT